ACATACATATGTACATACAAATATGTAAAAAGCTTAAATAACCAAACAAGTAATATGTATTCCCCAATTTATAGAATCGCCGTTCATGGGTGGATGATTCACGTCTAACACAATCGCAATTTATGATTGGCTCTGAATCTGGTGGCAACGACTCAGATAATAGCGCAGAGGAACCAATGTCTATTACATCGGATACACATTTACTCCAACGAAATATGCCAATGCGTCAAAGTTTGCAACGGTAAGTAGTGTTGGTCAGAATTAGTTTAAATGTTTTGCTCGCATTTTAGTCGTTCATTTGTGCCATAGGTAATTTTGAGTTAAAAATATGTACTTTCTGTACGTGTATGTTTACTATATGTGTATGTTTACTACATGTGCTATTCGTCAATTTGCATTTATTTCATTTTTCCTAAATTTAGTGAGCTAATGGATAATACACTTTCACGTGGCGGTGTGCGGAGTAGTTTGCAAGCACAAAAGCGTACGGATTTGAATAATTCTCGTAGAAATAGCGTGCACGGGTAAACTAAACTACATATAAACATATTCTTATTTTTGTGCAATTAATTTTTACCCATCCAATTTTTCCTCTACTTTCAAACGCGTCTTTATGTGTTAATGGCAACCGGCATGCATTTCGGTTTAATTGATTGGTTGGTTGGTTGGTAGTGGGTGTAGAAAGAAAATAAAAATGTGGAAACGATTTTTGGGTAAATATTGCGAAAGAAAACCATTGAAAGCCATCAAAATGCTTTTTATTTGTTTGTGTGTGTGATAACATACTGCTAAATTTTGTTGTTGTTGATTGCTTTCTTTACGTTTGTGCATAGGTATGTAACATGTGTATATAAACATATGTATATACATTTTTATACCCAATGCATGGTTGCGTGCATTTATTTGGAAATAGCTCAAACATTTTAGATCAAAATTTTCCCCTTGTACAAAAATAAATATTAACTGAAAAGATAGAAATATGTTCGCAAAATTTTATCAAGAGGACAAGTTGCCATGAATCCTTAATTTGGCCAAAGAGTAACATATTAGTTGCGTTCCAGATAACTTCGTGTTAAAACCTGTAAAGCTGTCAAATAACAAAATTACTTTCTTGAAGAGAGGAGCGAGAGCGAAACAATAAAGGTCACCTGGAACGCGAAAACCACTTTTCCTGTAACTACTTCGATTTTTTTTTTATGTAAAGTGCCATGGAGACGATCAAATATCTTTATCAACCGTCTCGCGTTATGCTTGACAAAAAACAAACGCACTTGCCTTCGTGGTGAGCAAGTGCGCGGACAAGAAAAATAAATTTTTTGTTTAATTGACGAGTTTATTTGAACGTTTGCGGGCCAATCTCATACATATGCAATGCTTGACGTATTTATTTGATTGTCCCCGTGGCGCTTAAGGTCAAAAAATAAAAATTCGCTCAGAGCGAGAGAGTAACATTGAAAAGTACGTGATCGCTTTCTACACCTTTTCAAGTTTATAATGAGAAAATACAAATTGATAATGAGAAATGAAAATTCATATTGAGAATATATAATCTGATAATTAGAAATGTAAATTGATATTGAGAAAATACAAATTGATAATGAGAAATAT